CCTCGGAGACCTGGGCTCTGGCCGCTGGTCGAGCAGTTGTTGCAGATTTTCCAAGCGGCTGTCTGTGGCGATTTATTTGAAATACAAGGTTTGCTTTTGCTTGTGATGGTCAGATTCCCAGGCCATCTGTTTTGTGCCTGAAGGGACCATGGACACAAATCGTCACATAGAAATGACATTCTGTTCATGGGGGGAGGGGAAGGGCATTCAGGACACTGAGCTGGGGCCTCGGCGAGTGACAGGAGCTCGTCCTCGCCTGCTGGGACGGAGCGTCATGCTTTCCCATGAGTCACTGCAGGGGTGCGTGTGCATGTGAGTGGTGGTGTGTGCATGCGTGTGGTATGTGTGTGAGTATGGTTTGTAGGAATGTGTGTGGTATGTATGAATCTGTGTGTTGAGTGTGTGTGTTTCTTTTTGTGTGTGTGCTATGTGTGTTTGTGTGTATCTGTGTGTCTTTTGAGTCTGTATGTCTATTGAGTGTGTGTGTGTCTGTGTCTACGTGTGTGTATCTGTGTGTATCTATGTGTGTATCTGTGTGTCTGTGTGTGTATCTCTGTGTCTGTGTGTGTCTGTGTGTGTTTCTGTATGTGTGTATCTGTGTCTGTGTGTGTATCTGTGTTTCTCTGTGTGTGTCTGCGTGTGTGTGTATCTATGTGTGTATCTATCTATGTTTCTGTGTGTGTCTGTGTATCTGTGTGTATCTGTGTGTCTGTGTGTGTCTGTGTATCTGTGTGTGTATCTATGTGTATCTGTGTATCTCTGTGTGTGTGTATCTGTGTGTCTACGTGTGTGTATCTGTGTGTGTACCTATGTGTATCTATGTGTGTGTCTATGTATCTGTGTGTGTACGTGTGTGTCTGTGTGTCTGCATGTGTGTGTGTGTGCGTGTGCGCATGCTCACTGAGGAAAAGAGCTCTCTTCCCGGCCAGACGGAGTTTGCATGGTTCCTTTGCCCACGTTCATTTTTCATCCTGAAGCCGCGCACCTGTTACGTGGCGAGGGGGGACCTGCAGTCTCGGACAGCCTGTTCCGTCCTTGGGAGACACCAGAGGCACGACAGCATCCTAACGAGCTCTCCCTGGCCTTGCTGGTGACCCAGTTTCACTGGCCGGTGTCCAGGCTGATCAGACGGCCGTGTGCAGGCCACGTGCACGCGTGTGTGAGTCTCGGTGTATGTGCAGGGGCTGCTCGCACTGAAGAGAAACAGGCTTCTCTCACGGAGACTGCACCCCAGTAGGGGAAGCAGATGAGAGGACCAATGGCAACTCACAGAGGAGCAGGAGCCAGCATCCGGGGCCGCCCGGGCCCCTCTGTCCCTGGAGGCCTGCCTGAGATGCCGGGTGAGGTCCGTGCAACCCGAGGAAGCCTGGGCCTCCGGTGACCTGTCCTGGGGTGTGTGTGGTCCGGGACTGGAGCTCTGTCCATGGCCTGGGAGGTGGTGGCTGCTTTTCCAAGTCCTCCTGCGAGCATTGTCCTACTTCCCCATCTCCCCGCGTCGTCTTCACCCGCCGTTGGTGGGGTGGATACTAAAAACGTCCAGGTTGTCATGCTCGAGTTTGAATGTTCTCGAGGGGCTCAGAGAAAGAAATGTCATTACACAGGACAACCGCAGCGACATTTCCTAAAGTTGTGTTGTTTCTCGTCAAGAGAGGCTGGTAACAGACAGCTCACCCTGGGCTGGGCATGGGGGGCGGTCGGTCCCTCCGGGGAGCCCGGCTGGCCGACAGCGTCTCCCACTGAAGATGGACAGGGCAGCCGTGGCCTCCTCACCCGGAGTAATCCTGACAAATGACACAAACACACTCAATTACCTCTGAGAGCAGGCAGGTCCCCGGCAGCTAGTCCAGCATGACGGGTGAATGGGGCGGTGAGGGATGGAGTCTGGCCGGGGCCCTAGCCAAATTGGCTCATTGGAAAGAGCATCGGCCTGCTACTGAAGGAAGGGTCCTGGGTTCAATTCCGGTCAAGGGCAGGGGCCTCAATTCCAGGCTCGATCCTTGGTCCTGGTCAAGGCAGGTGTGAGGGTAGCCAGTCAGTGTCTCTCACATCGATGTTTCTCTCCCTGTCCCTCTCCCTTACACTCTCTCTAAAAATCAATGGGAAAATATCTTCAGATGAGGTTAAAAAAACAAAGAAAAAAATTTGGCTGGGGCATGTGGGCCCCAGAGCCTGAGCGGCCACTTCCGCCAGCTGAGTCAGGAGCGGGGCTCCTCTATGTGGCAGGACGGGGCTCGGCACCTCCCCGGGGCTGCCAGCCCCCCAGGCCTCTGCCTCCCGGGGCCCTGCTGAGCTTTCAGGAGCAGCCTGCCCGCTTCCACAGAGGCTGTGTTCCTTCGTCCCGTTGGCCCGTTTTTCCGCACCTGCTCAGATCTTCATGGGCCTGACTCCTGCCTGTGAGGTGTCCTGGCGGTTCGGCGTCGCCGAGGAAGGGCAGTGGCCGGGCTGGCTCCACAGCCCAGCACGGGGGGCACAGGGAGTGCGTGTTGGGCAGGGGGTGAGGCACTGAATTGGTAGGCGCAGCACGGAGTTAGAGCTCCCGCCGTGTCTGTGTGTGTCTGTGTGCACACTGTGGGAGATGTGTGCTCGCAGGGATGTGCATAATCCCGTCTTACCCGCGGGGGCTGCGTTCCAGGCCCCCTGTGGAGGCCGGAAACTGCGGGTAGAACCAAACCTTGTGTACACGGTGTTGACTCCTGCTGGGATGGTGTGTCATGCTTTCACATGCTTCCTGTGGTGAGGTTCCGTTGATAAGTTAGGCTCAGGGAGGGAGTAACAGCAATAACAGTGAGATCGAACAATGATAACGATGTCCTGTAGCAAAGGTGATGTGAGTGTGGTCTCACTCCCTCAGAATATCGCGTTGTTCTATGCGGACAGCGTGGCTACGCTGGACAAAGGGGTGGTTCACGTCCCGGGCGGGACGGAGCAGCAGGTGCAAGATTTCGCCCTGCTACTCAAGAGGAGCACGCAGTTTAAAACGTGTGAGTTGTTTATATTTGGGAGTTTCCCCGCTGGACAAAGGGGTGGTTCACGTCCCGGGCGGGAAGGAGCAGCAGGTGCAAGATTTCACCCTGCTACTCAGAGGAGCACGCGGTTTAAAACGTGTGAGTTGTTTATATTTGGGAGTTTCCACGCATTGCTTTGGGACCGCGGTTGACCCGGTCACTGAAACCGGGAAAGCGCATGTGGATAAGGGCGCCGTGGCGTGTTTGTGATGCTGTGCGGTGGCACGGAGCCTCCCGTGTGCGTTCATGCACCTGCGAGCTGGGTGTGTGAATGAGTCACGGAGCAATAGAAGCAGTTCCTCCTTGTCCGGTCGCCGGACGTCCCCAGATGTTGTCGGTGGGCGGAGCGTACGTGGGACGTCCTTGATGTGGGACGTCCCTGAGAGCAGTCCACGTGCTGGGAACGAGCCCCGGCAGCCCCTGTGCATCGTGTGGCCCTGCTGACCGCACCCCTGTCCCCCCAGACTGCAGGGAGCTCCTGCTGCCCATGATGACGGACCAGCTCAAGTACCACCTGGAGCGGCAGGAGGACCTGGAGGCCTGCTGCCAGCTGCTCAGCAACATGCTGGAGGTGCTGTCCCGCAAGGACGTGGTGAGCAGGCCCCGTCCGTCCCGATCCACCCAAACCCCACCCCACGGGCCCCGTCCCGATCCACCCAAACCCCACCCCGTGGGCCTCGTCCGGGGATCCACCCAAACCCCACGGTGGGAGGCCTTGTCCTGGGGCCCACACAAACCCCGCCCTGCAGACCTCGTTCTGGGATCCACCCCAAAACCCCACGGTGGGAGACCCCGTCCCGGGGGCCAGGCCCACCCCTCCTGGGACAAGGGCACACGGATTCATTCCTAAAGAAATGGCCTTAATTTTAAGGGTTGTCTATAAAGTTGCACCTTCAGATTACTTTTATGCATGTGTGAGGTGTGCTAAATATAATTATAAACATAAGGTGATTTATCTAATAAACATTATACTACGATGCTTATCCCTCCACATTAAATATATTTATTGTTTAATTTCTTTCCGACAACTTACCAGCTAAATGTCTCTCAAGAGTTAGATTTTAATTCTCACCGTCAGACAAAGGCCTTGATGATAAAAACTAGAAACGAGCAAGTGGAGGCTCATTGCCTGCTTGCTTCCCGTTCTTACCTTGTTAAAGTCAAACAGGCACGCAGGTGCTTTCTTGTTGTGTTTCAGTCACTGGCCTTCTGAGAGTTTTGAGAGGGGCAGCTGTCTGCTCTCCCCTCTCCCCTGGCCCCTCTCCCCGGGCGATTTCTTCCTGGGATTCCGTAGCTGGCTTGTGCTTTGTAAACTGGATTTCCTTTTGCAGGTCGAATCACTCCACTACCTTTCCCTAATCCATTGTTAGTGCAGCCCCTGGGGAAAAGCCTGACCCTTCCCTTCCCCATCCCCACGGACCCACCACATATATGTGCGCACACGTGTGCACACACGTGCCATCGTTGGTTCTCCAGGTGTGTCTGGAAACATGTGCAGGGCCTTGGTCGTCGGCCCTGAGCTCTGGACAGACGGGTGGGATTTTGAAGTCAGCAGGGCTGGCTCGTAGCTCTATCCCACATGACCTCCAGCACCTTCCCAGTCCACACTCACACACACACACACACACACACACATTCTCACACACACACCCACACTCACACCCACTCACACACACACACACTCACACCCCCACTCACACACACACACACACACACCCCCAAACACACTCACACACACTCACACACACGCACACATTCTCACACACTGTCACACACACCCACCCACACTCA